TTAGATTTACTCCAGGCATGTGGCAATTCCTTTCACTCACTTTGTATGCAGAAAGCCCGTTAGAGTTCGGATATTTAGCCGCACCTCCAATGTGCAGAACAGCACATAAGACAAGGCAGCCGCCTCTCTCATTCAATCCGTCTCCGGCTGGTCAATCTTACCTGTCTTTCTGGACCCTGCTCTAATCTTATCTTCCGCAAGATCCTTCGCAGCCTCGCCACTTGGAATCACTCCCCGTCCTGTTTGCTTTTTTCCGTTTTATAGTACTTCTCACATTCTGCCTTGTTTTAATTCTCGGTGCTGGTCGACTCTGGTAGAGTGAGAGCCGTGGGCTGCTGGGGCCTTATGCTACTCCCTCTTCCTTCTGCATCCGTGCCCTGCACATGTGCCTTCTACGTGGGAGATGCCCGATAAATATTTATCAAGTAAAAACAACTCAAATCCGGGTATCAGGCTAGCAGGGCATTGTTTCCCAAACACCACACCAGAGAGAAGCTGGTTGGGGAGCACAATGGGAAGCACTTCATGAGCGCCCAAGAACAGGTTTCATTATTTTATTTGTCTTTTCTTTTCAAGTACGTTAGAGATTCAAGGATATTTTAGTTCATTTGTTTCATTTGCTTGATGGATTTAATTGAGAGGACTGTTAACCTAGAAACTTCTAGGATTAAATTCCACTTCAAGGGAGGGCATCTCTATGCATTTTAAAGATTTCAAACATATACTTAAAAATGCAAACACTTAGGAAAATACATAAAGTGAAAATATTAAACTCAACCTCTCATATCCTCAGTGTCATCCCCGCTCCCCTGCCCATGCCCCAGTTCAGAGGTAATCATCACTAAGAATTTCTTGCTTATTTTTCCAGAAATTTCTGGCTAATATTCCAACCCCCTTTGTCCATGTCCAATACAGACCTGCTTCATTCTATGAATGTTGCATGGTCTTCCCTAAAGAGGGCATATTATTTATACTGCCCCCTATTGAGGGCTTTTGAGATTGTCTTCTATTACAAAGAACTCTTTGCCCATACCACTGTACCTCTCAAATGGTATATTTTGCAGAGTCAGCATATGAGTGCATTCTATTTTTTTTTAAAGCATGCATCTTCAACTACCTACTATGTGCCTGGCACTTTGCTCCCCTAGTTTTCCAGACCACACAGCCATAACTTAGGCATTACCAATGCTGTCAAGGAGCTCCCTGTCTGCTGGGGGTGAGGGGATGGGGGAGGGTTTGGCTCTACCTAAGTAATTGTAGACTGTGTGTGAAAGCCAGCCTAGAGGAGGGTGCAAGGATTCAAGGTGACCTAGAAGGAGATTTGCTGGTGGGTGTCAGGGAAGGCTCTGCCAAAGAGGGCTGGGCTTTTAAATCAGGGGTGGTCTGGAGGAGGGCATTTTGGAGAAGGGCAGTTTGGGACAAAGGAAAGCACCAGGAATGGTGCAGCTGGGATGTAGGATGTTGCGGGAGGGAGAAAGGGAAAGACATGAGCCTGAAGGAGTAAGTCAACCATATTTCAGAAGCCTTTGTAAGAAAGAGTTTGGAGTTTTTCATGAGTTTTGTTCTTACTCCATTGCGTTTAATGCAAGAGATTGCTGAATATTTAAATCCATGTCTTTTAGTAAAAAATTCTCTATTTCAAAGAAACCTTGCTCATAAGAGTAGAGGTGCTCTTACAACATATGGTGCATTTCAGCAGGCCTGCCCCTGGGTTCTGGTAGCCCTGCACCGGGGCTAACATACTTCTCGCTGTCTCTCCACTCTCACCCTCCTTTACCTCTGCGTCGAGTCTGTGTGCAGAAGGGCTGGGCATCTTTTGGGGATCCTGCATCTAAATGGATAGGACGGGTCCCCAAGGATGTCAGCCTGGCAACCTTTAGAGTGTGAAATCCATTTAAAAGGGGATCAGAGAAAGAAAGTCAGAAAAAAAATGGGGAATGGCTGTGTAAATGGGGTGGTTTATATAGTTAGTAGCTTTAATTTTTATTTCCTGGACAGGGTTTGAGAGAAAGACATGTAAGGTAAATTCTCCCGTGAAGTGCTTATAGACTTGCCACTCCATCAGCAGGGAAAGCGCAGACCAGAGCATAAGTACTGTGAATTTAAAGCAACCTTGGATTAAATTCCTCAGGTAAGCCTGCTAGTCATGTCTCCCCAGTGCCTATTTATCCAGATGTCCTTTTGGGATGGGGCAGGACCAATTTTTAATGACTCTGAACCGCCTCCCCTGGGGACTCGGAGGCTGCGTTTTGCTGACAGTGGAAGCTCTTTGTGTGAGCTCCACGGGCGGGCGGCTGTGTGTCAGGAAGATTCCTGCTCAGGGAGCCTGCACTTGTCAGTTTCTCCATCTCTGAAATGGGGATTACAGCCTCACTCTCAGGGCTGTGTTGCAACAGATAATTTTGTGCAGGACTATTTGGTTAAGAAAAAATAAAGATTTATGCTATTAAAATATGCACGTTTAAAATAGCTCCCAGTGCTATTTGGCTGTCTTTTTGCCTGAATTTCACTATGTCTGTAAGTGAGATTCAGCACTTTTTTGTGGACGGTGAATTGTTGCTACTAAATGAGCCTGTCAGTCTCTGCTACAGAACAAAATGTCCTTGGATTTACCCCACACGCCAGGGCTTTGTGTACTTCTACGGGCGTGCTAGATATGGAAGGTGCCCAAGTCGCATGCTGCCCCAGAAGGCTGCAGCTCCGTGAGGGAGGCTGGTATACACAGCCACTCCGGAGCCACGGAGGGGCGTGGAGCCTCAGGCCTGGCTGTGCCACAGCCCCTGCCCCCTTCCCCTGTGGGTGTAGGCCTGGCCCGGGTGCCGCCCTCAGTGTGTCATCTGCAGAATCCCAGGTCTGGGACTCAGCGAGGAGCCAATCTTTTGTTACTCTCATGTCTCTCACTTCTGGGAGTTTTTCTTTGTGGCCCGTGATTCATAATTCCGAGCCTCCTGGTGATTATACAATCAGCAGCAGGAAGTAACCCAGATGCCTTTGGGGTACATCTTGTTATCCTGAGAGCTGGGTCCTTGATGTAGAAGATGGGCCAGTTTGGAAGTTTCTCTGACTTTTGGCGAGAATTTTCTGACCCAGGGGACTGCTTGGATGTTTGTTCAGGGCCCCTGAGGGCTGCCTCCGAGGGGAGGAGGGGAGAGGCAACAGTGGACCCTGGGGTCTCCAAGCTCCTAAGACTCCATCTCAAACAAGGACCCTTATTTGATATCTGATTTGCCTCCTGGATTTTGCATACGGTACCAAGGAAAGGGTTCTGCTGCTTTAAAACCTCTGGTTTATGCTCTATGTGATTTTGTATCCTTGCACAACCTTGGCGCCGTCTTATCTCATTCTCCATGAAATTGGAAAATGCATTTGTCACCCAGGCCCAGCCCCCAGCCTGAGTTGATATTTACAAAGTTGCCAGGATTCCTCAGATGGGTAGCCACTGACCTTGTGTAGTTGTATCAGCCTTTTTATTAGTGGTTTTGTACATGGCTTTCTTTAAAATCATTAACACATGTTATTAAATGTGCTTTCTTTCCAGAAAATAAACTTTTGAAAAGGTGTTGTTTTCTTCTTTCAATAAATCATTTTTAGAGTATCTTTTTGGTAAACAAATCCCAATTATAAGTGTCTGAAATACTTTCGGAAACGGTCTCCTGTGATGATCTATCTGCATGTCCCAGTCCTCCCTGCTCCTCAGACCATTTGCAGCATTCTCCAATGCGGGAATTCTCGCTAATTCCCCGGCAAGCCAGCTCACTCCCATTCTCCAGACCAGTGGTCACCAACCTTTCGGACCTCACGGGCCACCAGTGGTCCGTGGACCACCAGTTGGTGACTGCTGTTCCAAAGATTTCCTTAAACCAGTGATCGCCAACCTTTTGGACTTCAAGGACCACTGGTTGGCGACTGCTGCTCCAGATTACTGGGAAAATCTTGCAGAAACAAGGGTCTGACCAGTGACTGCCCTGATGATAGCTTTGCATCCAAAGTGCAGTCTGTGGATCCATGCCCTGAATGCTTGGACTCATTCAGTAATCTTTATTGAGTGCCCAAGTGTTA